AACTCCCAGAATTCCCCAGCCAGCCATGTTGGCTGGGGAATTCTGGGAGTTGAAGTCCACCCAACTTCAAGTTCCCAAGGTTGAGAAACACTGCCTTGGACTGTGGCTCATTCAATTTCACATTTTTAGCAGAGAATCCAACCTTGTCAACTGCATAACTGGTCAATTTCCTTCTCAAGCTTAATTTTCTCAGCTTATATATGTAGGGTAGGCCTTCCCTTAGCACAATCCTTTAGTCAGTGTTTCCTAAAGTGTGGTCCTAATAAATCAGAATTATTTGCCAGCCTGTGCTGAAAATTAATTCAATATTAAAATCCCATCAGACAATCATGAGAAACGGTAGTGGGACTGAATGCATCAATTTTAATTTTTAATGCAGTAAGTATTGATACATATAACTCATATCAACAAAAGCTCTTTTGGGGTCCTCTACAATTTTTAAAAGCGGAAAGGGGTCTTGAGAGATAAAAGTTTCAGAGACACTGCTCCAAGTAACAAAATGTTTTTTTTTAATTCTTCAAAATGCAACTTAGAATAAAAATGGACCAACCCCTTAAATCCACTAAAAAACACCCAGAGACAATTAAATGAGACTGTGTGTAAACTTAATGAAAAATAATAATAAAAACGAAAGGAAAGGGGAGAAAAAGATTGAAAACCCAGAGTACAGAAGAAACAAAGGAATTAAAATGTTTGGAAAGATCTGCCTTATAAAGTAATATAGAATAAACGGAAGTAATAAAAGGGATGGAATGATGATGTTGAAATGGATTGAATTCAGCGGGGCCTGGAAATACGTATTTTTAAGGCAGATGGCATCGATGCCAGATCGTCTCTCCAGCTTAGGGCTCTCGTTCTTGTTGAACCCCTGGTCGTCGTCAACCAGGCTTCCCCATTGCAGTCAGCCAAGCCTTATTCCCGTTCTCTTCCTTGCAGCCTCTCCAACCGTTCCTTCCCCGGATCAACGTCTAGACTCCGGATTCAAACCCAACAGCAATGAAGAAGAAATTCCAGTAAGATGCAGGTGATGGCGTGAGGATTTGGGGAGAGTGGATCGTTGGCTTAGAGTTGTGCAGGGAGTAACGTTGGCTTTTTGCAAGGACTAAAAACGGAACCCCGGGGATGAGCTGCAAAAACCCCGCTGCAAAATTAGCACCAGGGAGCAGGGCCAGGAAGGAAGTTGGCAGCCCAGGCCTTTGTAACACAGGAGCAGCAAAACAAAGCGAATGCAAGCCTACCTTCTCAGCTCCTTTGTTTTCCTTGTTCATATTCAAAGTTGCTCTTTTTTTGCCATTAATCTGGAAGCCAGGCACCAGCACACATCCGATCACATTCAGTTAAAATTAAAAAAAAAAATGGAAATGAAATGAAATGACTGAAATCCCACCTTGAGGGGTCTCGTGCGTGAATGCTGAGATCTGGAGGGATTTGGGCATTCCTGCACCCGTAGACAGCCAAACTGTTCTGGGTTTGTCTGGGCGATCTTGAGAAATGCGGAGTGAACGGGTGGATTGACAGTAAGAAAACGCAACTCAGGCTGCTTTAACGGCAGCATTATAAAGCAGGGATCTGGATTATGAACCTCCAGATTCAGAGGCAGTTATCTGATGGAGGGGCAAATCAAGGAGATTAATCTCCAGATCAAATTGAAGCTCCTGGAGGGCTGGATAGTTTCAGATCGATTCACTTTAGGGGGACAGAAAATGGAATGTAAGATTTACAATGCACTTAGAGATCATTTAGTCTAACCCAGGGTTGCTCAACCTTGGCCACTTGAAGTTGGGTGGACTTCAACTCCCAGAATTCCCCAGCCAGCAAGGCTGGCTGGGGAATTCTGTGAATTGAAGTCCACACGTCTTAAAGTTGCCTAGGTTGAGCAACCCTGGTCTAATCCACGCCCAGACTGCAGTCACACAAATTCAGGTTTCTTCTGGGTTTACACAACCTGCTCAAACGCAGAACCCAGATGAAAACTTCCTCCAGGCTAGGATTCTTGCAACAGCATTTGCAAAAACTGCAGCTTGGAAACTTAACGGCCCCTTCAAGTTCTCGAGAAACTCGGCTTCTCAAACTCAACAAGTTTCTAGCTCTTGTGAGGTCTGAGAACACGAGCTCCTGGAGAGGGGCATCTCATGACTTCTGTGAAATCATGTGGAAGTTGAGCAACGCCGTTAGATTTCCTTCCCCTGTTTGTGGTCCCTGAGCTCAAGAGGAAAGATGAATGGCGTTCTGTTTCTGGTGATCACGGGGCGAAGTTCAGAGAGAAAGAGTGTTTTATTTCTGAACAGAGCCGAGGTGACCAGAACTGTTTTTTGTTGCAAGAACTCTGCATGACCTCAGCCCAGGAAAGGTTGTTCCAAATCCGATCTCTGGTTTCTCCAGGTCAGGCAAAAAGAGAATTCAGCTGGTCATGTTGTAAAACCAGGCAGTGCAAATGGTAGAGGTTTTTCTTTTTCTTTTTAAAAAGTCTTTTATTCAGTATCCCGAGGACTAGAATCTTCATTTTTAAAATCAGGAGCCACACTCCAAGGTAGACCACCCGCCCCATATTCAAGGGAAAGATTTTTTCCCAGAGTGGAAAGCTTGTTGTGAAAGTCAGTGTAGTACAGTCCCCTGAGGACCCAAAAGCTCATGTACCTTAGTTAACTTGGTTACTGAATTAAGCCAGTTTTTGGGATTCACATAATACCTTGTATGGGAAGAGGCCATCTTTGAGACACCCTGTGTGTGAGCCCTTTAGGGGCTTTTATAGGTAAGAAACCGCTCAGAAACAAGCTGTAAATCAGTGCAGCTATTCAAGACTGCCAAATTTTCCTTGAACGTTTACATCTTGTTGAGCAGTGGGATGGACTAAGTGGTCTTTCAAGAGTTTGCCTAAACTGCAGCTTTGGAAACCCGTTCAGGCTCTGGAGAAACTTTTAAAACTGAACAAGCTTCTAGCTCTCATGAGATCCAGGAACATGAGTCCCCAGCAAAGGGCATTTCTGTAAAATCTTATTTTCCAAACCAGGTATTTAGGCTTTAGGGAGGGTTGTAGGTGGCTTAGCCCTTCCCCTACCTCCTCCCCCACTGCCATGGGTCTTAGCATCCTCCAAAACCCCGAACAGCAGTTTTCAATCCCTTCTGTTGTTTTATCGTAGAAATTTCAAGATACCAGCCAGTATGTGGTCGCTGAACTCCGGGCTTTGGAGAACGAACAGAAGCAAATTGATGGGCGGGCAGCCGTGGTGGAGAAGGACCTGCGGAGTCTGATGGAAACAGGTAGAAATGGGATTCATGGATTCCTGCTGGGGAAGAGCGTCAGAAGCCAGATTTTCCCAGTTCAGTTCCTGATAATGATAATGATAACAACCCTAATAATAATAGGAGAGGCCCTCTTTCAAAGTGCATTGGGCCTTATAACAAACAGATTAGACAAACTTTTGTAAGGACAAAATATTTAGGTCGTATGACATTTTATGTCGTATGGCCCATGTTTTTTGGTATGACGTTTCTTGAATAATTCCTCGGTGGAACTTGGATTTCCAAAGAACGCCAGTCAAATCCACTTAGCTTTTCAGGATCAGCTGGGGTTGCTGATAGCTTTCCAGAAAAAAAAGGGGGGGGGCAAAGAAAACTAACTTGTGCCAGTGAACCCACATTTGATAGTGTCAGAAAAGGAAGAACTGACTTTAGAAGCCGGTGATCAGAATATAAGGATCCTTGCCTGTTCATTCTGGGCGTCTGCTGCCATCTGCTGTCTGATTGTGGGACTGCACAGAGATGAGCCGTTGGGCGACCACTATTCTCGGTTTCTCTGAAAATATTTGGGAAATTGTAGCAGTCCAGGGTAGGCGACTCTCATTGCTTCTTTAATGATTCTTGGTTTAAGAGTACCTAGGAGACAGCCCCCAGCAAGCCTTGGCTGATCTGGAAAAGCTAAGCAGGAATTTATTTACTTCTGACGTTTTTATGCCATTACACAAACAGCCGAAGGTTAGAGGTCACTTGGATGGGAGACCATCAGGCGATCCCGCAACTGTAGGCGAGATTGGGAGGTTGGAAAAATATCCCAGAAGGCAGTGGCAAACTGCTTCTTTGTTGTTGTCGTCGCAGGAAATGTGTCGATGAATGTGTCTTCAAGCTTGACGCAAAGAAATTTTAATCTGTATTAAAAGCCTTCTTCAACCTGGCCCTCTCCAGGTTGCCCTTCCCAGAATTCCCAGCCTTTGGCCAGGAAGGCTTAGAATTCTGGGCATTGTAGTTTGAACCCCTCTGGATTGTTTTAGGTTGGAAAAAACTACTGCAAACCCTCACTGGCCTGTTACCAGACTGCCAAATTTCAGTTTTGTTTTTTTTACATTGACCGTCTTTCCCTACCTAATGCTGAAGTTTGATGCCGAAGCTGACAACGTTTAACAAGGACACCAGCGTCAAAGATAAAACCCCTATTCCATTGTAAGCTCATTTACATTTTGAGTAAATAACCCACACTTGAGAAAAGGTGCTCAAAAAGCCCCCTTTTTACGCATATCCCCACTTCCACGCACACATCCACAAACGTGAAAACTGCATAGTGTTTTCACCCATGGGAAACATGGATAGCGAGCCTTTCCGTGAATGTTGAACTGAGACGCTGAGACAAGCCCTGGAAAGTTATCCAGATGTTTAGGGCAGGCTGACGGGGTCAGGCTCTGGCGGCTGAAGGGCACCCGTCAGTCCTTCCTCGTGCTCCCTTCCCTTTAGGTGCAGACAAGTTGAAGGAGGAGGAACTGATCCAAGAATGGTTCACGCTGGTGAATAAGAAGAACGCCCTGATCCGGCGGCAGGACCAGCTACAGCTGTTGTGAGTAAGAGACAGAACAACCATGATCCGGTTACACTTACCGACCTGCCGCTGAGATTAAAATTGAAAACGTTGCATCTTTGTTTCCCTCCCCTGTGGCTGGGGGTTGAGCTTTAAGTTGGACCCCCTGGTTTTTCCTGCCCCCCTTGGTGCATCCCCCACTCCTGGAATCGGAGTCTGAACGTAGCCGCTTGGACTTTTCCTTCAGGATAGAAGAACAAGACCTGGAACGACGGTTTGAGCTTCTGAGTCGCGAGCTTCGTGCCATGATGGCTATTGAAGGTGAGGGCTGGGGTCTCGGCAAGGTTGCGGGGAGGGGAGAGGAAAATGGTGGCTGGGGCTGATTGTAACTAACTGGAGCAAAGAGCACCAGGAAGCTTGGACTCGGGGCCTCCCTAGGTGTCTCCAGATGCCTGCCATACAGGGGTGTTGTAGCTCTTCAGAGCAAGAAGGGGTGGGGTGGGGGTGGAAGCAGCTAGCTGCTGAGCCTGTCCTTGTGTCAGCTCACGAGGATAGTGATCTACAACGGCCTTATTGGTGGTGGCAGTGAAAGTGCATAAAATCCGTATACCTTGATAGTTACAATCACAGATCATAACACAGTTTAGGACCAGGTAATCTTAGACTGAAATTGGCAGATCTTTAATGGGGAGTTCCACAGTTTTGCTCCCTTTTTCTCATTCCTTGGGGTTTTTTAAAGTCCCCCCCCCCTTTTGATGCCAGGCTCAGCTTTTCAACCACATAAATTGGGGATGTTGTTTTTTTCCCCTTCCCTGGCTGTTCTTTCAACCCCTCTCTTGCTTTTTAAAAGAACGTAGAGTCCCTCTCCTTTTTGAAAACTTGCTTTTCTCCACGGCTCGATCTGGAAAGGCAGCCGCCGAAGCTTTTCAGGGAACAACTTGATGGAAAGCGTGGTCTTTCTGCTTGTTTTCTCGGCTCTGCAGACTGGCTCAAAACAGAAGCCCACCAGCAACGGGAGCAGCTCCTTCTGGAAGAACTGGTCTCGCTGGTGAATCAACGGGATGAATTAGTCAGAGATCTGGATATCAAAGAGCGGATGTGAGTTGGCTCCCTTCCTTCCTTCCTTCCTTCCTTCCTTCCTTCCTTCCTTCCTTCCTTCCTTCC